GGGGTCAGTTGGGTCAAGGTCACAAGTGCTAAAAATAGATTTTTACACTTTTGCCCATACAGCCTTTATTTATTGACAGAGGTATTTCATATTTGGTAGGAAGATAACTTACATGGTATTCTTCTTTTGGATAGAGTTAGGGGTTGGTTTGGTCAAGGTCACCAGTGCTCAAAATAGATTTATACACTTTTTCCCATACAGCCTTTATTTAATGACAGATGTATTTCATATTTGGTAGGAAGATAACTCGCATGAAGTTGAATATTTTTCAACTTCACAAGTCAGAGCAATGACTTGGCAACTTATATTTTTCACAATTACAAAATGCCATGACTTTGTCAAGCTATAAAACTTGTGTTTAAAATTTTTTGGCAATTTTTCTGTCCATAACTGAGTGAATGGGTAAACATTTTTTGAAGTATTGCTACTGACAAGAATCTGAGCCGGGGGCATTTGTGTTTAACAAACATGTTCTTGTCTTTTCTTGTTGGGTTTTATGTCACACTTACACAGTAAGGGTCATATGGCAATACTCCAGCTTTACCAGTGTAGGAAGACCTCAAACACCCAAGTTCTGTTGCTTCAAGTTTGTAACATCCGAGGTTAGCCTATAAGGAATTTACACCAGCTGCCGGTACAGACGTGATTATCTAACTTGAGGGTAATTTGTTATGGCGATTAAGAGACTCTGACGAGTTTTGCTACACAGTTATCCAAGAGCTAGATATTCCTGTTTGTGACAACAGCTTGTGTTTGACTTTTTCCTCCCATATTACATATTAGTGATATTTCGTAAAGAAATTACGATAACTCATACTTTCATTTTGCACTTTTCTCATATAGTTACATGACTTTACAACTTCATTCTTTATGGCAAAATGATGTCATCTTTAGAATGCAATTCATTCATATTAGGCGCTTGGGAATGACATCATTTAAAAACATTAACTTGTCTTACATGGGGGATGTAAGACAGGTTTTTCTAGCACCGGTGTAAACAATAGATAATCCTATCTGATATGCAAGAAAGCATCTTTCCTGTTTCAGCGATTTATGACTTCAATTATGTTGGTGCTCCTTAAAAAACAAATTTTGGACTTGTGAGGGGCTATAAATGACCCCAGATTGATCATAAGGTAACGTGTAAACAATGCTGAAAAGCATTTGACTCTATCTCAATCCATTGTGAAGTTGCAGCACTTTGAAATCAATTTTGATGGAAAAAATTAATGCAATGCAAAATAGTGATTTTTGGCAATTTTGAGATGTCCCCTCGTTGCCATGGTAACAGAAAATTTAAGCCTGAGCATGTTGTTGCAAGGACAATGGTCCAGTCAACATTTGTGCCAAGTTTGATTAGTGTTGAAGCAGTTTTTATAGTATTATAGCAATTTGAACTTGTAATGGGATACTTCTCAATGAAAACAGCCATTTTTCACAAAATGCTCCTGAAGTTACTGGGTTAAGAAGAAGCAAAAAAAAAAAATTGTCTTGTAAATAATATCATCAACCATGAATTTAATATTATAATAAATCTTTTTAAAGCTTAATTTACTCTTATTTTTTATTTCAATCTTATATGATTATAATGTAGCAATTTTAAACTTAGTATAAATGTTCTTTGAAAACAAAATATAATTAATTAAGAGCCTTGGATTTACAAATTCTGCAATTTTGGCAACAAAAATGGGTAAAATGTATAAATAAGTATTTATGAATATGCCAGACCTGACTTGATATCTGCAAATATTAACAATAATGATTTTTAATTTATTGAAATTTAACAGCAACACTGTGCTAACTTGAGTTAGTACAGTGTTATCATCCAATAAGTATATGCAACACAGTTCTAACTTGAGTTAGCTCTCTGTTGCATTTATGTTATACTCACATTTGAGATAGAGCAAAATGCCAAGTGGTAAATAAAACCCATAAAATTTCACAATTATTTCTAATATTTTATTTACTAATGTATTTCATACAATTAGGCTAAAAAATGCAAAAAAGTCATTTTTGAAAAAAAATCAAGTTAGACCAGTGTTGCGTTCAGCCATCGAAATACCAAGTCTACAGAACACAATAGTTATCACAGTTAAGAATCTTGACCAATGAATGAAACATGTGTGAATAAATGTTACATTCTTTAGAACATACTCAAGTCCAAGAAAGAGGATTATTTCATGCCCTTTGATTAAATTCTATTTTTAGAATTGAAAGTGAAAATAGATCAAGGGGAGTAATTGTGTAAGTCATTTATGAACAAAGTTATAACTTTGTTGTCTCCCTTTGATTAAATTCTATTTACAAAATCTGGATATTTCATCATCTTTAGTGACCTTGACCTTGTATATATTGACCTAAATTATATGTATCACAGCCATAGTCTTGATAATGACCATTTGTGTTACAATCCCTCAATAAATGATGACTAAATGGTCAATATACACATCTTCATATTTTTATCTGAACTTTGACCTCTATGTGTGACCTTGACCTTGGCCGCAAGGACCTGAATCTTGCACGCGACACTCCGCCTCACAATGGTGAACATTTGTGCCAAGTAATATTGAAATCCCTCTATACATGTGGAAGTTTTGCTCCGGACAAGCATTTTTCAATGAGCTCTAAGTGTGACCTTGACCTTTGACCTAGAGACCTGGTTCATGTGCGCGACACTGCTCCTCATAGTGGTGAACATTTATATGAAGTTTCATATAAATCCCTCCATACATGTAGGAGATATGCTCCGGACAAAATTGGACGCTGCCCGCCCGCGCCGCCCGCCAGGGGCGTTCCCATAACACGTCCCGTTTTTCAAACGGGCGTATAAAAAGAGTGACCACAAAACAGATTTAAACATTTACTTTTTATTTATATAAATTTTCTTAATGTATTTAGTCATGATAAATTGAAAGATAATAATAAACATCTTATTCATTTTCTTAGTATGAATTTCATCTTAATAAAGGGAGATAATTAAGTCAGAATAAAATGCACTGTTTAAATGTATGTAAGCATATGTAAAATGAGTGACCCCAGAGGGCCATATTTTATCCTGGAGGTTCATCAATAACATAACTTTAGTAGAGGATCCACAAGGCAATCCTACATGCCAAATATGTAAACTCTGGACATTTCAGTTTTGAAAAAGAAGACTTATAAATGTATTTTCTATAAATAACAGAGATAGGCAACTTCTTAGCTAGTTAAGATATCACGAGTGCTTGCTAAGCTCAAAACTTAAACCAAGAAAAACTGATTAACCAGATATTAAAGTCAGTAAAATAATACATTTCTTGAAAGCTATGGCTGCCAATAAAAACCTTTACAAATCCCATTAAATAAATGATACATCAATTTTTAAAGAGAACTACATAATAATTTGGCTCAGTGGGGATGTTCTGCTATGTTTTTCTAAGAGAAAAATTACCAATATTTCAACATGCCGGAATAGATAAACAATTTAACTATTAAATGGTGTATAACATAAAAGGAATAAAGTTATACTTGCTACCCTGGTGTAGACATGACTGATATTTCAATGGAGTATAATAGGAGTTGCTTTATCTCTGTTATCTACATATCTGCCCAGAGCTTTCATTTGAACAAAATTGGTAGAGATCCATTAGACAATGTTTAATGCCAAATATCTAAGTTAATGCCTCTATATTATAATAGAATAAGTTTTTTTTGTGTTAACTACTGTAAATCTGGTGTTTTAATTTTCGCTATTATTTGTGAAACCATTGTGTCGCAAATTCATCATGCTGCTAAAAATTTTATAACATAACATACATAATATAAAATTTTATCTAATAACAAAATTGTCCAAATTGTGATAGAGTTTGTTAATTAATACAATAACCAATTTCATAAAAAATAATGTGTTCAGAGTTTTAATTACATAATAAATGTATAAAGGTTTACTAAGGTTTTTCTCGTAAATATATGCAACACAAAAAGATAACATTGTTTTCCAACAATGTCAGCAAATGATGCACTTTCTAGATAAATGTTTACACATCTTATTTAGAGAACAATAGATTTTCAGTAAAGCAGTGATCAAAAGATAATTTTCACACTGTTGATGTAACACCTTTTTTACAAATATTTAAAGCTTATCAAATACTCTATTATCAAGCAATAATCAAATATGACAAATGATTTAAGAAAATCCTTTCATAATAAATTTAATTTAATTATATTGATATATGGAATAACAAGAAGGCCATTGGCCTCAATGCGCTCACCTGAGTACTAAATGCAATTGATATTCAAAAGTGAAGTTACCAGGTCTTAAATTAAATTTTGACCCTAGGTCTATAATTTGAACAATCTTGGTAAAGTTCCACTACACAATGCCTCATGCCAAATATCTAACCTCTAGCCTTTGTCAATTCAGAGGAGAAGATTTTTAAGTTTTTACTATATACATATATGGAAAACCTATGAACCCCGGGGCAGGGCCAATTTTGACCCCAGAGCTATAATTTGACAAAACTTTGGTACAGGACCTATAGATAATATTATATTCCAAATATCTAAGCTCTAAGCCCTGTTACTTCAAACAAGAAGATATTTTAAGCTTTTACTATATACATATAAGGAAAACCTATGACCCCCTGGGACAGGGCCAATATTGACCCCAGGGCAAAATTTGTACAACTTTGGTAGAGGACCTATAGGTGATATTACATACTAAATATCTAAGCTCTTAGCCTTGTACCTTCAGACAAGAAGATTTTTTTAAAGTTTTTAATATATACATATAAGAAAAACCTGACCCCCCAGCTATTTTTTTACCCAAGGGCTATAATTTGAACAAGTTTGGCAGAGAACCTATAGGTGATATTATATACCAAATATCAAAGCTCTAGGCCTTGTACTTTCAGACAAGAAAATTGTTTTTGCATATAAAACAAACAAATCAAATTTATTTGAGTGATCTAGAATTAACTTTCATTGGAAAATTAGCAAACTTATTACAGAACAAGATTTACCTTTTTACTTTTGTCTTTTGATATATAAACTCCCAACCAACTATGGAATATAAACTTGCAGTCCTGAAGAAATGCCTCTGTTTTGTATATTTTCAGTGAATCTAAAGGACATTTTAATTTTCTGATTTCATCTTTAAGCTTATGTCCCTCTTTTCCTGCTTTCCTCAGAATAGACTTTGATATGGCTCCCTTATCCAAATCACCCATTCTATCAATTGTGCTCACCAATATGTCAGCCTGTAAAATATAATTATTAAGTTCAATAAATTATTTCTAAATAAGCAATTATATCTTTGGGACTAAATTTGACTGTCGGGATCATCTACTTCACAGCATGCTGAAACATGATATACATAGACTCTAAATTATATATAATCAATCACAAACTGTTACAATGGAAAAGCAAAAGCTGATATACTATACATTGAAATTGAATACATCAAGCTTGGCAATGTCAACTAGAAGGGTTTTCGTCCCCAAAAAATCTCTACCAAAACTATGTATGGTCACTCATTTGAAGTTTCATTGAAATCCCAGCAGTAGCTTGACCTGTGAAAGCCGGACAAGATTTTTCTATTTATAGCTCTGAAGGTCATTTTTTGCAGTGAAGCAGAACGTGCCGGTACTGTGCACAACTAGGCATGGTACTGATCCCTCCTGTAAAGTTTGGTTGAAATCCCATTTTTTCAGCACATACACAACTAGGGATGGTACTGATCAATCCTATAAAGTTTGGTTAAAATCCCAACAGTAGTTTGACCTGTGAAGGCCGGACAAGATTTTTCTATTTTTAGCTCTGGTGGCCATTTTGTGCAGCGAAGCAGAACCTGGCTGTGATTTGCACAACTAGGGATTGGGTACTGATTTCTCCTGTTAAGTTTGGTTGAATTAGTAGTTTGACCTCAGAGAAGGCCGGACAAGGTTTTAGCTCTGACGACCATTTTGTGCAGCAAAGTGGAACGAGACGGTGAAGTGCACAATTAAGGATGGTACTGATCACTCCTGTAAAGTTTGGTTGAAATCCCACATCGTTTGACGTATTTTTAGCTCTGGTGGCCATTTTGTGCAATGAAGTTAAATGTGCTGGTGATGTGTACAACTAATTAAGTATGGTACTGAACACCCCTGTAAAGTTTGGTTCAATCCCATCAGTAGTTTGACTTGTGAAGGCGGGACAAGATTTCACTATTATTAGATCTGGTGGCCATTTTGCACAACAAGGGATGGTACTAATCACTCCTTTAAAGTTTGGTTGAAATCCCACTTGTAGTATTACCTGTGAAGGGCGGACGAGCTTTATGGGGAAGGATGTCCGTCTGTTACCATGGCAATGAGGGGACATCTCAAAATTGCCAAAAATCACTATTTTGCCTCAATTTTTGTCATCAAAATTTATTTCAAAGTGCTGCCACTTCTCAAGGGATTTAGATAGAGTCAAAGGCTTTTCAGCGTTCTTTACATGTTACCTGATGATCGACCTTGGGTCATTTTTAGCCTCTCACAAGTCCAAAATTTTCTTGGCGATGAGGGGGACTCTATGCCCTTCAAACCCCCCCCCTCAAACAGAAGGGGGGCACATCCCCCTTCTGCCAACCCCCTGATGTATCTTATGGATGGGGGGGGGGCGGGACCGAAAAAGTGCTCACTTTTTTTAGCAACATTTCTAAAATGAAAACATGTGTTTGGGGTCCAAATAGGACATTTTTTCACTATTGCAGGCCTAAAAAAGTGTGTGGGGGGGGAGGTCAAAAGTGTGTTGTTTCGCGTATATTTGAGGTAAAGGGTTAACAAACAAAAGCTGTAGGTAGGACAGCAACGCTCGACTATTCTTAGTGCTTGATAGTAAAAAAGCCTTGATAATGTAAAATTTTCTAAGTGAAGAAAAGGGTAAAAATTTTCTTTAAATCCATATTATATATATATGCCTTGGAGAGAGTCTTATTTGAGAGCTTAACTTGTTTCAAAGCCATATGTCAATGGACTTTGAAAATATTTGATGTATTACAAAAAATTTAACGTAAATTCTAAGTCAAACAAGAGCCATGTCAACATGGGCATCCCCTGCCGAATGTGTTTGCTCATTGGAAGAATGTATATGTAGTAGAGCAGAAAAATTCCATTTTAAGAGGTCTTTTGGTAATGAAAACTGATGGCTATAGTGATAACAGATTTGAAACCTATGTGAATACTGATGGCTGAAAATAACAAAGGGTAATAACTGAAAAATAATGCAGGGTAGGTTATCATTCTTGTATGCTGCATCCCTCCTCAGTAAAATCTATCTGCCTATGAAGTTTCAAGTTGATACCTCAAATACTTTTTGATAAAAAAATTGAATTGAAAAATAACAAAGGGCAATAGCTCAAAAATTATAAATGGTAGAGTAATCAATCTTGTGCACTGCACACCTCCTGAGTTAGATCTATGCACCTATGAAGTTTCATGTTGATATCTCAAAGGCCTTTTGAGTTATGCTCTGGACTAAAGTTAATTTTGAAAAATAACTAAACAATTATGCAGGGTAGAGTTATAGTTCTTGTGCACTGCACTCCTCCTCAATGAGATCCCTCCAGCTATGAAGTTTCAAGTTGATACCTCAAATACTTTTTGAGATAAGCTCCGGACAAAATAGTATGAAACTAGAACTGTGTCCAAAGGACACGGATGCCCCCACTGACAACATATATATGGTATATAGTCAAAAAATCAACAAAGGGCCATAATTCTGTTAAATTTGGTTGCAGCAAAAATTCCTTCCTTTACTACCATCTACACATTAAGGTTGTTCATCCCTGGAAGTTTAAGCAAAATCTACCATCCGGTTTAAGAGGAGTTGCGTTCACAAAATTTCTATATGGTATATAGTGAAAAAATCAACAAAGGGCCATAATTCTGTTAAATTTGGTCGCAGCAAAAATTCCTTCCTTTACTACCATTTACACATTAAGGTTGTTCATCCCTGAAAGTTTAAGCAAAATCTGCCATCCGGTTTAAGAGGAGTTGCGTTCACAAAATTTCTAAATGGTATATAGTGAAAAAATCAACAAAGGGCCATGATTCTGTTAAATTTGGTCGCAGCAAAAATTCCTTCCTTTACTACCATCTACACATTAAGGTTGTTCATCCCTGGAAGTTTAAGCAAAATCTACCATCCGGTTTAAGAGGAGTTGCGTTCACAAAATTTCTACATATTATATAGTGAAAAAATACACAAAGGGCCATAATTCTGTTAAATTTGGTCGCAGCAAAAATTCCTTCCTTTACTACCATCTACATATTAAGGTTGTTCATCCCTGAAAGTTTAAGCAAAATCTGCCATCTGGTTTAAGAGGAGTTGCGTTCACAAAATGTCTACATAGTATATAGTGAAAAAATCAACAAAGGTCCATATAATTCTGTTAAATTTGGTCGCAGCAAAAATTCCTTCTTTTACTACCATCTTCACATTAAGGTTGTTCATCCCTGGAAGTTTAAGCACAATCTGCCATTCGGTTTAAGAGGAGTTGCGTTCACAAGATTTCGGGACGTACGGACAGACGGACGGATGGACGGACGGACGGACGTACGGCGTGACGGACACTCGGACGGACAAGTGCAACGCTATATGCTCCCACTCTGTGGGGGCATAAAAAAACAAAGGGCAATAACTAATATTTAATATTTTAATAACTAAAATTGTATAGGGAAGAGTTATCATTCTTGTGCACAGCATTCCTCCTCAATAAGATCTATCCACCTTTGACATTTCATGTTGACATCTCAAACACTTTTGAGTAATGCTCCACTCAGGTGAAAAATTAGGTATGAAAAATAACAAAGGGCCATAACTAAAAAATTATGAAAGGTAGAGTTATCCATCTTGTGCACTGCACACTTCCTGAGTGAGATCTATGCACCTATGAAGTTTCATGTTAATATCTCAAAGGCTTTTTGATTTATGCTCTGGACAAAAATTAATTTTGAAAAATAACAAAGGGCAATAACTCAAAAATTATGCAGGGTAAAGTTATCATTCTTTAGCACTGCACTCCTCCTCAATGAGATCCATCCACCTATGAAGTTTCAAGTTGATACCTCAAATACTTTTTGAGATAAGCTCCGGACAAAATAGCATGAGAAGAACAAAGGGCAATAACTCAAAAATTGTATAGGGAAGAGTTATCATTCTTGTGCACAGCATTCCTCCTCAATAAGATCCATCCACCTATGACATTTCATGTTGATATCTCAAACACTTTTTGAGTTATGCTCCACTCAGGTGAAAAATTAAGTATGAAAAATAACAAAGGGCAATAACTAAAAAATTATGCAGGGTAGAGTTATCATTCTTGTGCACTGCACTCGTCCTCCATGAGGTCTATTCACCTATGAAGTTTCAAGTTGATAACTCAAATACTTTTTGAGATATGCTCCGGACAAAAATGTTGGACGAATGGACGGACGGAAGGTTGGACGGACAGACGGATACTATTACTATATCCCCCACCGCCTTTTCGGCGGGGGATAAAAAGGGGCATAATTCTGTCAAAATGCTTGATACAGTTACCTCCTCCAGTCTACAGGTTGGGGTCATGATTAATAAGTGTGCAAAAATTGAAGTATTACAAAAACTTTAAATTCTAAGTCGAAAAAGGGGCATAATTCTGACAGTTACCTCCTCCTGTCTACAGGTTGGGGTCATAATGGTGAACAAGTGTGCAAAGTTTCAAAGCCATCTGTCAATGGACTTTGAAAATATTTGAGGTATTACAAAAACTTTAACGTAAATTCTAAGTCAAAAAAGGGGCATTATTCTGTCAAAATGCTTGATAAAGTTACCTCCTCCAGTCTACAGGTTGGGGTCATGATGGTGAACATGTGTGCCAAGTTTCAAAGCCATATGTCAATGGACTTTGAAAATATTTGAGGTATTACAAAAACTTTAACATAAGTGGTTACGCCAATGCGGACACCAACGCCGACGCCGACGCTCGGGTGACTACAATAGCTTTACTTATTCTTATCGAATAGTCGAGCTAAAAATGATGAAAAACTTTGGAATCATCCAAAATCTAGTTTTTCCATGTTAACATGTGGTCTTTCACCTAATTTTGGTGGAAAATTGTTGTTTTGTAACATTTATAATTTTTGTGTCTCCTCTATGGAGTAGTGGCGACATATAGGGATCACTTCCCCGTCGTCTGTCTGTCCGTCAGTAGTTTATGAGGAGTAATCAAGCTTTTGTGTAAGCTTTTGTGTATCTGGCAACACACAGAAAAAACAGCTTTTTATCAAAGGGCCATAACTTGGCCAAAAATCATTCAACCGGAAAACCCGTATAATATGTGCAAGGACTTGAGCTACAGATCAATCCTGTAAAGTTTCATTGAAATTGCATTAGTGGTATAAGAGAAGTAGTCCGGACGAACTTTAAAAATAAAAATTATTAAAGGGCCATAACTCTGACAAAAATCATTGAACCGGAAAATGCTGATAATATGCACATCTACACTTGGTACTGATCACTCCTGTAATTTTTAGTTTGGATGAAATTGCACTAGTAGTTTATGAGGAGTAGTCCGGACAAGTTTTGAGACGGACGGACAGACGGACGTTCTAACAGGAGAGTAATAATGTGGCTACTCTATTGTTCCCTCTATTGTTCTTTTTAGCCACACAAAAGAAAATAGCCACATAAAAGCATTACTGAATGAATGACAATTCAAAGAGAAAGAACAGTTACCTATTGTCCCTCTAGCCACATAATTACTGTCCTGTGAGTGCGGAGGGACAGACGACGGAGAAGTGATCCTTTCAATACTTATCAAACTTGGCACAAATGTTGACTGGACCATTGCTTTTGTAACGGCATGCTCAGTTTTAAATTTCTTGTTACCATGGCAATGAGGGGACATCGCAAAATTGCCAAAAATCACTATTTTGCCTCGATTTTTTCCATCAAAATTTATTTCAAAGCGCTGCAACTTCTCAAGGGATTGAGATAGAGTCAAAGGCATTTCAGCGTTGGTAACATGTTACCTCATGATCGACCTGGGGTCATTTTTAGCCTCTCACAAGTCCAAAATTACCCAGCCCCTTTCAAACCCCCCAAACAGAAGGGGGCACATCCCCCTTCTGGCAACCCTCTGATGTATCTTTGGATGGGGGAGGGGGGGGGGGGCGGCGCCAAAAAAGTGCTCACTTTTTTTAGCAACATTTCTAAAATGAAAACATGTGTTTGGGGCCAAAATAGGACATTTTTTCACTATTGCAGGCCTAAACTAGAAATGTGTCCATAGGACACGGGTGCCCCCACCGCGCCACTGTTCTGTCAATCTTTTTACTAATTCAAGGGAAATAACTCTACAAATACTAGATAAATCCACAAGCAAAACCCCAGGTGCAAATCTAAAATATGCTGAGCAACCTGCCCGTAAGGTTTAATGACTATGTCAAATCCTTTTTGAGAAACTTGCGACACAAGTTGAAAATTGCAAAAATTTAAGTGAAGGGCAATAACTCTAAAAATACTAAATAAATCCAGACGAAAATACCTGGTGCACAACTGCACATGCTGATCAATATTCCTGTAAAGTTACATGACTCTAGGTCAAATACTTTTGAGTTACATGCGACACATGTTGAAAATTGCCAAATTTTACTAACTCAAGGGCAATAACTCTGAAAATACTGGCAATAACTCTGAAAATACTAAGAATATCCACACTAAAATACCCAGGTGCACAACTACACATGCTGATCAACATTCCTGTAAAGTTTCATGACTCTAGGTCAAATACTTTTTGAGTTACGTGCGACACAAGTTGAAAATTGCAAAATTTTACTAAGTCAAGGGCAATCAATCTAAAAAAACTAAAAATATCCAGACGAAAATACCCAGGTGCACAACTACACATGCTGATCAACATTCCTGTAAAGTTTCATGACTCTAGGTCAAATACTTTTTGAGTTACATGCGACACAAGTTGAAAATTGCAAAATTTTACTAAGTCAAGGGCAATAACTCTGAAAATACTAAAAATTTCCAGACGAAAATACCAAGGTGCACAACTACACATGCTGATCAACATTCCTGTAAATTTTCATGACTCTAGGTCAAATACTTTTTGAGTTACATGCGACACAAGTTGAAAATTGCAAAATTTAACTAAGTCAAGGGCACTTACTCTGAAAATACTAAAAATATTCAGAGGAAAATACCCAGGTGCACAACTACGCATGCTGATCAACATTCCTGTAAAGTTTCATGACTCTAGGTTGAATACTTTTTGAGTTACGTGCGACACAAAAGTGAATGGACGGACGGACAGAAGGAGGGACGGACGGACGGACAAGGGTAAATCTAAATGCCCGCCACTAAGGTGGGGGCACAAAAAGGGGGGGGGGTCAAAAGTGTGTTGTTTCACGTATATATGAGGTAAAGGGTTAACAGAATCAACTGTATTGTTCTTTTGTTCTATTAGACTGCCTCCTATTTCATTTCATTGTACAGATTAACAGATTGGGACAACAGAGATGTGATCCGTATATGTTGTAACTATTATGTAACATGTCACACCTACTGTATAGTTGACAACAAAATCTCTAAGAGTGACCTTGACCTAGAGACTTTGTCCATGTGTGTCACATGGCATCTCATGGTGGTGAACATAATTCTACAAAGTTTCATTAAAATCCCCCCATGCATGTAGTAGGTATGCTTCGGGCAAAATTGGAGGCCCCCTGACATGTGTATAAAAATTAGCTGATATGATTTCAAACATAGAAACATTAAAGTATGAATACAGCAAAATGAAAACAATATTATTAATGAAAACAATATTATTATCAACTTTCTATTACCAACTGTCCAAGTTTATACAAAAAAATACAAATAGGCCATCCTTAAAAAAATGTTTGTTTGCAGTAACCCGACACAGAATTTTCAAGGAGGGTAGGTAGGTCGATTTTTTTTTTTATTGAACTGTACTCCCAAATAAACATGGAATTTCAAAATGCTGGACAATATATGCTTTGATAATCTGGTAACAATTAATAAATTGATAACTGAATTCTAATTTAATAAGACCTACATTTAATTTCTTCCATTAACCTTTAAAAGAATGAAAACAAAGCACAGGGCATAATTTTCTGATTCAAAAAAAAAAAAATTTATCCAGACCACGAAAAAAAAATTTGAGTAGGGGCAAATTTTGTGAGTCGGTCGCTTTACTGCAAACAAACATTTTTTTAAGGATGGCCATATCCATAACATGTTTTGCACGGAATCTAGCAGATTTAATCTGCCAATAATACATATTGTTAAGTAAATAGTAAATTTTGTATGAATTTTCAGCACAATATTTTAAAACATATCAAAGAGCAAAGAGAAGATAGGACATCTAAGCGTGGGATGCAAAATAATATCCTTCATAATAACCTTCTACATTCAGCTGAAAATTAAAAACACAACTTAACTATTATTTATAATGCATGGTGTTTTATGAATGTTTAAAATTTCCTCAACTACTTTAATGAAATATAGTACAAATATTGAATGACAAACAAGTAAATTTATCATTACCTTTGTTTCAGCAAGATTACCATTTGTAACGGTAACAGTAACACGTCTTTCATCTGAAATAAAACAGAAAAGTTCTTTTATCACATTTGCAAAAGAAAATTTATTAAAGCATAAAGAAGAAAACTTTTTACTTGAATCTTTATACTATATATTCTTTGTAAATAATGTAAATGCACACAATGATTATTTTTTAAAAAAAAAATCAAAATAAAAAAGTTATGAGCAAGGAAAAATTATTGTGGGCATCAATTTTATACAGATCCATAATGATAAAATATAATCTTAAAAAAAAAATTCTATTGTGTTTCAGAAAAGACTGTCTTAGAATAAGAGTCCATTTTTCTCAGTGCATGATAGTTAAAGGCACATTTTCAAAATAAAGAGATCATAATTATGAACTATAGGTAACTTTGACCTTGAGCTCCTATCATTTGATGTAAAATGTTTGTAGCTGATAATCTTGTCAATATACATCCACATATCAGTTACAAATAATTAAAGTTCTTGACAACAATGGACAATGAACAAAAGCAAGCTTAATGTAAAATGTAGACAAAAATCATTTTGACCTTGACCTTTTGACCCAAAAAGAGTCTCAATCAGTTGTATCATTAAGTTTGAAATTTTTCTGGTCATTGCACTCTGATTAAATGGCCAACTTCAAGTTTTTGTAATTACAGGTCACATTGAACAAATTAATATTGCAGGCAGAATTACAAACTCCTCACAGTGATTACCTCCCCTGACAGAATTGTAATCACTGTCTTCAAAGATGTCACATGATGATGAAAGTCACATGACGTAACGTCGAAACTCAAATGTAAATATCGACCGTTACATAGAAAATCTTACGTCATTTTTCTCTTTCTGTTTTATTTTTAACTTTTAGTGCCTACGTTCGATATAGTTTATAAAAAAATTATCAAAAGTATACAAAATAACGTAAAAATAAATTCAAAAGCTAAAAAATATAAAATATAAAAATATTGTCTCGGTAGAAAATATTCTCATATTTTTTAAAATTATTTCTAAATATTCATATAATTTATTTATTTATCCATAAACATTGTTTAATCAATGAGAAAAAACTTAACTGATAGATAAAAGCAGTAAATAAAACAATTTTTGAAAAAATATAGTATATCAGAAATTCTGATATATTGGGACCTTGGTGGCAGAGATCTACGCCGAAGAATTAAGGGGAGATCACTGTGTGGAGATTGGCAGAATTATAAAACCACACCAGCAAACACTTTTAAGTCCCTATGTTATTGCGCAAAGATTCAATAGTCAATTTTATGTATATAAGGTACCAGTGACCTGTATTTTTAACCTTTTGACTTTCAGATAAAAATGGTAGTTAGAACACATCAAGTTGCATTTATAAACAAAGTTCAAGTTTCTAGGTCAATGCACTTTGCCTATATCATGTATATAGACTTTTTTACAATACAATTCTTCCATAGCTACCAATGTTGCATTTTCTGCATAGGGCAAAAATGAATCATATTCTTTAAAAAGTCAAGCTAAAAGAAGACATATTAGTTTAATAAAATGCATTTTTACTTTGAAAATAATTGTTACCTGCTGGCATTGAAGTAAAACCTCCTTTAAAGTATCCACAGCAGGCCTTGTAAATATCATCACATATCTTCTCATCACTGCCACAAAAACAAACACTCAGACAAGGAGTCATTCTTTTTTGCAACAGCTCTTTCAACAAATCAGCCACAAGTAGCTGCTTCACAAATGTTTGCATTTTCCAGGATACCTTGCCAACCATTATATCAATGTGATGAGAAGACCTGTCTAAACAAGCTTGCAGACATTCATTAAACATCTCAGTAAGATTGATTTTCTCTTTTGCACGACCATCTTTCCACTTTGGAAAAAATACAACAATGTCACTTCCACTGATCTTCACTCCTTGTTTTGCTAGAATAAATTGTTGTCAAACATGGTTAAAACAAGAACAAATGTAATTATGACAAGTTCAAAACATATTTTAGCAGAAAAGCCTCCCCTATATTTACATTTCATAGCAAAAAAGGAACCCGGGTCCCATTTTGTATTTTAAATTTTAGAGATAATTTTTTTCATCTTTTAAGACTTCTTAATTTATGCAATTATAGATTATATGCCTTTTTTCTTTTCTAGTTTAATCTTGAAAAAGGCAGGGGACAATAACATTTTTGATTAGAAATAATTGGGAGCCTATTTACAGAGACAACATGGCACAAACATAGTGTTGCTATGATTATAGAATAATTGTCTAATTGGTAAATTCAAATGTTATTTAAGATAGCAAAAAGCAAAATAAGAATAAGACCATTGAACAAAATTCTTCCTTTTGAACCAGTAAGTTAGGTCTTGATTTTTTAAAATTGGTACAAAAAAAACCAAATTTTTTAACTCCCTTGAGTTTAAATGGGGAATAAAACAAAACCTCTGAACTGAAAATTTGGCAACTGTATACCAACAGAAAATAAAACAATCTATACAGAAAGAAAATTATACTGGTAGAAAATTATATATGCATACTGTTTTACAATCTTATACATGCATACTGTTTTACAGTTTTGAAAAATTTAGTCCAGGGTACTGAACATTCTTCAATGGATTCAGTTGTTATGTTGCCATTCAATAATATACAAGAACTGATCAACAATGAATATACATTATAAAATTAATTGAGCCATTTATTCATATAGTTATGCGTAGATACCCAGATCAGCTTAACAGATGCACAATCTTATGAAAAATTCTTACCATTTATCGATTCTTCTTCAAATCTCACCAATACTTTTTTACCAGGTAATGAACAGCTTTTTGCAATTTGTACAGTACTCCCTTGAGCAAAAATCCATTGTATTTTCTTGGAGTCATAGGATATTGAATCAATTTGTATGTTTTCCTCCCTTACAACAATATCAAAATTATGTATATGCTCTAGAAAGTTTGGCACATGGTTGGCTTCTACTTTACAATCCAATGTATGAACTTTAATGCTCTTCTCTATTTCCTTGATCTCATTTTTAACACTGTCAACAGCTTCTTTTGAACCATCTATTACAAAACCCTTAACATTAGTGTTGAGCTGTTTTACCTGGATATCATTTCTCTCTGCTACTGAACTGAATTGTTTAGACTTGCAAATACATTCATATACCAAAGGATTCTCAATTCTAATAATTTCTTTCACACATGAGCTTGATGGTTGTGACTGTTCTTTTGAGGATTTTGGCACAGTGGATCCTGCTTTACCCTCCACATGTACCATTTTTTCTATGTTGCTAAAGCAGGAGTCCAGGTGTTCTTTCAACCCATAAACCATTATTGACCCTTCATTCACAAAAGTCAGATGAATGTATGGTTTCTGTTTCCCGTCATATTTCTCTTTTATTTCTCCTAGTAAATCAGAGGTAAAATCTGGATCACCTACTTGCTTTTTAATTTCTTTCCGTTTTATGCATTTCTTTATTATGTTTGTGACTTCATCTGTATTTGTATCCAAAGATGTACTACATATCCCGATTTTTTTATTTTCTGCATTTATATCCACTGAAATATCTTTATCAATTTGCAAGGAGCAGGTAAATTCACATAGCACATCCACAATATTGCTAAACTCTGAAGAATATTTGACATCCGTGAAACTAATTTCATTGCAAGGATAATAATGCTCAATCATAGCTATAGCTTCATCAACTTCTGTCTTTGGACCAGCAAATGTAACTAGAAGCTTATGATTTGTTTTTATGTAGTTCATTCTCAAATCAATTGATGGAAACCTCTGTTTCAATAATTCTTTAAAAGATTCTTTATCTATCTTTTTCCTTAAAACTGGAGATTTTTCAATAATTCTAGTATGAGTCTTGCTGCCTGCTTCAAGTTTACTGATCTTATCCCTAATTTTTGCAACAATTTGGTCAGCAATATCCCTATGACAAATCATGATCACATGGAATTCTTCATTGTTAATCTCTGCATAGTATATACCATCTTTCATAACACTAAGTTCCTGAACAGCCATTTTGACATCTTCTCCTCTTATATCATGTTTGAAGGGAACATTTTTAACAACACAATTTTTTGAATATTTAATAACAATGTCTACGATGTTATCAATATATTTTCCAATTTGAGAATTTTCGCTTACAGAGCCAATATCTACCTGCATAATGCCATCATTAGCTTGAAACGCATAATTTTGATTTTGTGCAGAAGATTGCAGGTTGGCACACAATGATTTTAAATCAATGGTTGCAAATTTCCATTTCATGTAATCTAACTGCCCCATCTCCTTTTCTATTTCTGTTGCTTTCTTTTCAGGGCTGCCAGCCAAAGTATAAGTTACTCTAAAGGTTACCTTCTTATACATCGGTTGTGTTGTTGGACTCTTTGATTCTGAAATATTCAGCATGTTACTAAAATGATGTGGCAACAATTATTATCACAGGAATTGAAACAACAACTATTTTAGTTGGTACATTGTATGTTTAATAACTAAATGATATCACACTTTCAAACTATTGGGTCATACCAGCTAGAACTATCACCTTCTTGAACTGAAACATTGGTATTAATTATTTATCAAGACATTTATAAGGATATTATCTTTTGAATGGAAAAGTTTGTTTAAGTTAAGTCAAAGGAGTTGTATGCTACATAGCAGTCCATTACTCTGTTGTTGTTTTTTTTCAATATTATATTTTTTAAGAAACACAGGACAAGAGCACTCTTTCATTATCTTCAAAAACAACTGAAATGCTGCTATGGTATGTTAATATGTATCTAAATCATAAAGGGTTATGCACTATCTTATCACATAATTATTTATTGTATGTTTTTTATTATAATAACTATTTCTAAAACAAAAAAGTTTTACAAATGTTGAAAACAAGAAATCATATTTAAATATTGGCAAGCCAATCACCAAATGATTTTCAGTCTGAACTTATAAATTCTATGACAAGTATTTTTGTAAACCATAAACAACAGCTGTCAGTAGCTCGACTATTTTTCTTAGTGCTTGATAGTAAAAAAAAACTTGATAAAGTAAAATTTTCTAAGTAAAGAAAAGGGTAAAATTTTTCTTAAAATCCATATTACAGATATAGGCCTTGGAGAGAGTCCAATTATGCTTTCATAAATAAAATTTCAAGCCATATGTCAATGGACTTTAAAAATATATGAGGAATAACAAAAACTTTAATGTAAATTCTAAGTCGAAAAAGGGGCATAATTCTGTCAAAATGCTTGATACAGTTACCTCCCCCTGTCTACAGGTTGGGGTCATGATGGTGAACAAGTGAGCAAAGTTTCAAAGCCATATGTCAATGGACTTTGAAAATATTTGAGGTATTACAAAAACTTTAACATAAGTGGTTACGCCAACACGGACGCGGACGCCAACGCCGACGCTCGGGTGACTACAATAGCTCTACTTATTCTTATTGAATAGTCAAGCTAAAAAAGTAGATATAAAATCTAAATCTTAAACTGATACCGCATCGTTCATATTTGTATCTGAAATAGTACATGTGTAAAAATATTACTGGTTGCTGTTGCTAAAGGAAACAACAGTTCTAAATAATGTTTACATAATTATATGAAAAATCAATGACCCAAAAAAGGCTTGGCCAATTTTGACCAAAAGGAATTTATTTGAACAAAGTTGGTAGAAACAGAGGCCAGACAGATGGATGCCCGACAAATTGTGATCACTAAAGCTCACCTTGTCACTTTGTGACAGGTGAGCTATTAGTAGGTCCATGATTGCCTTTATTGGGTATAATTAAGTTCTAGATAGACAGATACTCCTTTTGTAGCAATTTTGTTCAGCGGACAGTAACCGTTTTAGCTATTTGTAAATGACTACCTTGCCATCATTGCTGTACAGTTTCATCAAATTCTGACCAAGTGTTTAAATAGGAGATATTATTCAATTTACATGGTTTTATTACTGACGTGCTCTGGTAAAATAATATGATTCGAAGAGCAGATAATTTATATACAAAAGGTTGTTATGGAGTAAATATAATGCTTATGACTAATCCTTTCTTACATTTAAAATAGGTGATTCTAGAGAGCTATATCTCTCTTTACTTTGGTACCTGCCTTCAAAAATAGCAGATACTTACAATCATGAGCCAACAAACATTACCTTGTATTTTCTTTTCTTGAGGCTGATTTAGAGAATTTCTCCTTGCCCTTGTTGGAGGAGTTGGTGAAGATTGTGAGTCGTTCTCATTTCCCAATTTATTTTCTAAATAAGAAATAAAAGACATCGTTTGAAATGGTCTCACTTTAGATTGATGGCGACACTCTGTAGATACAGAGATCCCTATCCTGTCTAATTCTAATTATCAGATTAGCGGATACTATAAGACTTTCACCGCAACATATTTGTAAACCAAATAGCACATGTCGATGTTTGTGGTTAAATCTATTGTTATTCAAATAAAAGGTCAGAGTAGGGATCTATCAATGCAGAGACTTATGCTAATAATTGAAAATATCTAAAAATATAACCACACTTGGTATAAAGCAAAGACATGTGGTGACATCTTTTTGGATTGTGTCATCTGTGAACCAGAAAATATTACAACGCAATGCATTACCAAAGAAGGAATGATCATTATTTTAAAAGAAAACATTTTTTACTAAAGCATCATAATTTTTAAATATTTGTAGTTGTCAGCTACAAAATGCTTCATGACAAATATCTATGCTCTTGGCATTATGATAAGAAAACCTAATTTAATGGTTTTTTTTACAATGTAAGTCTTTATAAACCTAGTGACTGACCCTTCAGACATCAGGGGGATGATTTGTATAACTTTTGTAATGGAGCAACATGTGATGCATTGTCATTATTTACCTTAGCAGCATGACTTAGATAACGTCAGGAAATTTCCACTAGGCAATACTACATGCCAAATTTCTAAGATCTAGGCATTGTCCTTTCAATAAAGGAGAATTACATGTTTTTCCTATACAAACTTAAATAAACTAAATGACCACAGGGCATCACTAATTTTGATTCCATGGGAATAATTTATATATTTTTGTAGAGGACAACAAGGTGATGTTATGTGCAAACTATCTAAACTATAGGACATGACTGTATTTATCAAATATGAAAACATCACACCATTTTTCAAAACTATAGCGATCATCAACTAGTCATGGCTAACCGCAAAACAAAATATGAAGAATGTTAACCAAAGCATTCTTAAGCAATTGTTAGGACAGTTTTTGAACTTTAAAGGCCCCTGTGACCTTGACCTTTGACCTCAAAATCAAGAAGGTCTTAAGTTATTAATAATAACCTTAACTTTTGACCTTGTGACCCCAAAATCAATAGGGGTCTTCTACCTTATATGGACAATCATCCTAAGAAAGTTGAATATTGTGGGCCAAATGGAACTTAAGATATGCTCTGGAAACTGTTTTCAATTTTAAGGTAATAGTGACTTTGACCTTGTGACCCCAAAATCAATAGGGGTCTTCTACACAATATGGACACTCATCCTATGAAGTTTGAATAAAGTAGGCCAAATAGAACTTATGTTATGCTCCAGAAACTGTTTTCAGTATTAAGGTAATTGTGACCTTACCTTTTGACCTAGTGACCCCAAAATCAATAGGGGTCTTCTATCTAATATGGACAATCATCCTATGAAGTTTGAATATTGTAGGCCAAATGGAACTTAACTTATGCTCCGGAAACTGTTTTCAGTATCAAGGTAAAAGTGACCTTGACCTTTGACCTATTGACCCCAAAATCAATAAGGGTCTTCTACCCAATATGGACAATCATCCTATGAAGTTTGAACATTGTGGGTCAAATGGAACTTAAGTTATGCTTCGGAAACTGTTTTCAGTATCAAGGTAATAGTGACCTTGACCTTTGACCTTGTGACCCCAAAATCAAAAGTGGTCTTCTGCCTAATATGGACATTCATCCTATGAAGTTTGAACATTGTGGGTCAAATGGAACTTAAATTATGCTCCGGAAACTGTTTTCAGTATCAAGGTAATAATGACCTTGACCTTTGACATTTTGACCCCAAAATCAATTGGGGTCTTCTACTTAATATGGACAATCATCCTATGAAGTTTGAACATTGTGGGCCAAATGGAACTTAAGTTATGCTCCAGAAACCAAATTGCTAACTGACGGAAACTGTTTTCAGTTTTAAGGTAATAGTGACCTTGACCTTTGACCTTTTGACCCCAAAATCAATAGGGGTCTTTTAACCAATATGGACAATCATCCTTTGAAGTTTGAACATTGTGGGCCAAATAGAACTTAAGTTATGCTCCGGAAACCAAATTGCTAACAGACGGAAAGTTGCTAACGGACGGAAACTGTTTTCAGTTTTAAGGTAATAATGACCTTGACCTTTGACCTTTTGACCCCAAAATCAATAGAGGTCATCTACCCAATATGGACAATCATCCAATGAAGTTTGAACATTGTAGGCCAAATAGAATTTAAGTTATGCTCCGGAAACCAAATTGCTAACGGACGGACTGACGGACGGACTGACGGACGGACGCCAGGGGGTATAACATAATATGCCCTCTGCCCAATATGGACAATCATCCTATGAAGTTTGAACATTGTGGGTCAATGGAACTTAAGTTATGCTCCGGAAACTGTTTTCAGTATCAAGGTAAAAGTGACCTTGACCTTTGACCTCAAAATCAATTGGGGTTTTCTACCCAATATGGACAATCATCCTATGAAGTTTGAACATTGTGGGCCAAATGGAACTTAAGTTATGCTCTGGAAACCAAATTGCTAATGGACTGAAACTGTTTTCAGTTGTAAGGTAATAGTGACCTTGACCTTTGACCTTTTGACCCCAAAATCAATAGGGGTCTTCTACCCCAATAGACAATCATCCTATGAAGTTTGAATATTGTGGGCCAAATGGAACTTAAGTTATGCTCCGGAAACCGAAGTTTGAATATTGTGGGCCAAATGGAACTTAAGTTATGCTCCGGAAACCAAATTGCTAACGGACAAAATCTGTTTTCAGTTTTAAGGTAATAGTGACCTTGACCTTTGACCTTCTGACCCCAAAATCAATAGGGGTCTTCTACCCAATATGAACAATCATCATATGAAGTTTGAACATTTTGGGCCAAATAGAATTTAAGTTATGCTCCGGAAACCAAATTGCTAACGGACGGACGTACATACCAAGTTTTGATGTATATGAGGCAAATCAGCTCATAAACACCACCTGGACCACCGTCCATAAGCAAAATAAGCTCATAAAAACAAAAAAATAGCTCTTAATTTGAATTTTATGAGTTTTTGTTCCTTATTTAACTACAGAATGAAGCTCATAATAATCAAATGTTGGCTCGGACGGACGGACAGACAGACAGACGCCAGGGGATAACATAATATGCTTTTTCGGGCATATAAAAATCAACCAGAAAAGTAATAAGTAATAATTGAGCTTATATAAAGTTTCATTCAAATTACATAAGTGGTATGAGAGAAGTAGTCTGGACAAACATTAGAAATCAATTAAGGTCAAAAACTTTGACAAAAAACATTGAAATGGCAAATGGCAGTGATATTCACAACTGGACTTGGTACTGATCATTCCTCTTAAATGTGGATGAAATTGCACAAGTAGTTTTTGAGGAAAAGTCAAGACAAGTTTTGTGGAGGATGGACAGAGGACAACAGAAGTGATCCCGATGTATGTCCACTATTCTGTAGCAGGCGACACAAAAACCCATTCGAGATTTCCAAATAAGCTTGCAACAGATTACATCCATAGAATACTTCAAAGTCAAACAAATCTAAGGAAGAATATTTAAGTAATGAATGCCCCAAGAAAACACTCTTTTCTTGTCTGAAATATTATTAAAATTGACAATGTCTTTACAGATTGAGGTTATATCTAAATCATCAACATGTCAGAGTTGTCATTAGTAATCTTTGTCCAAGTATAAATCAAATTTGTCCATTATAATTAATACTTATTAACAATAAATAAATGACAATTAAAGAATGAATCACATCCATAAAAGTTGTTGATCCTCAAATTGCTATTAATATAAATATTCCAGCCAAATTTCAAAATAACTGGGTGGAGAGATTGTAAGATATGGATCCAGAGGGACTGATAAATTGACAGATAGACACAACAGTGTCTACATTGTATATGTGTCTCCATTGAGAACCATCGAAAGTCAAATATCAACTTCCAATTAATTTCAATTTTCATAATATGAAACTATGAAACACATAGCTTTCAGCTTCAAATGTTGGAGAGGAGTGATGGAAGGACAATTTGCTTTTAATTATACATGTTATAAATTCTCTAACAAGGTACAAAAACCCATATAAAAATATATCAAGTGAAACGGTACACATTGTACGATAAATGTTTACTATCTTCAGACAAAAACACAAAACTATGTTTGTAATGCTAGGTCAAAGAATAAGGGGACACAGCATACCTTTATTTTTTAATCTAGGGGCTGGTATAGGTGGTTTATCATCCTTACATACTGCTTCTTCTAATGACTGCTGTTGTTGTCTCGGAGCATCTACAAAATTGAAAATAATTGAAACTTTAGATACAAGATTTTAACTGTTTATCAGATTTTTTATTGTAACTTTTCATTCTATCAAATCATATATTCAGAGTATATATATAAATCCAGCACAAAGTTTTATACCCATATTTAATAATCATAATTACCAAAACAGAAGAAATTCAAACAATTGTCACTTACAAAAAACAAACTTTCTTTGTTTTACAAAATAATTCCTTTACAGTTTTTGTAAAAACCATTCAATGATATACAGCTTATTTTTTATTTAAGGCATGTTTCATATTCTGGCATAATGCTTTATTAATGAATACCTTCTAATTCCATTCTTTGAAGCTTGCAAATTAGCTCATCAACATCAGGTTTGGCTTCTTCTTTCTTTACATCAGCACCAGATGAGCCACCAGTATTGACATCAGTCACTGTATCTTGATGGTTCAATGGATTTGTTTCATTCTCTTGAGGTGGATTCAAGACATTCTGCATATCTGGAGTTGTTCCCCTTACTTTTTTTATTTCCAATCCTTCTTCATCTCCTTTTTGTTCCTGAGTTTCTGCAGACAGATTGTGTTCTGATCTTTTTGTGTTACTGCTTTCACTTCTATTATCTTCTAATTTAGCAACAACTAGTTTAGATAATGTTATTTCTCCTTTCTTCATTGTTATTGTATATCTTGGAACATAGTCAATCAAAATCATATTTTTGAAAACACTTACATTTGAACCTTCTTTAAGTGTTGGTAATAGTACTGGTTGATAGTTTTGTCTATGAAGTAAATAACCCTTGCCAACCGTCTCTATGCTAAAACTAGGTGTCTCTGTAACTTGCTGTAGGGCATCATGCTCTTCACATTTCACACTACCATTACCATCAACAAAATGCTTGATTTCTTCTTCGCATTCAGCATTGTGAGTCTCAGGCATTTTTGAAGAATTGTTAACGTCATGAACAATTTCATCACCTGTTCCTGGTGTAGAGCACAGCTCTGTGTGCGGTTTAAGCTCTGTGCTGTTATCACCTGGAATGTGTGTCATGCTTGTCATATTAAAAGATGGAATTGAAATATTCTCCTCATCTCTCATTTGTTCCTCATGATCTTCTTCTGAAATAATTTCTACACTGTTTGATTCTGATACATGTGAACCTGAGTCATCAAGAACTTCATCTTCTCTTTGAAGAGATTGTACTGTAATAAACAATCAAAATGCTAAAAGTACTGGAAACTTGCACAGTGTAAGAGTCACAATAATAACACCTTTGTTTGTATGTATTGAAGGCAACCTTATACAATCAAGTTGAGTAGTAAGAGCCACGACCTAGCAAGGCCTGCATATTTGTTCTTATTTCTGTCATTATGTGTTCCTTTGTCTAGATATATGTTTGCTTTTATGTTTGTTTGTTTAAATTAAAAGGCAAGGTCATATCAGTTCAACAAGTTAGTTTTGTCATATGTGTTCTGTGTCAGAGCATGAATCAAATTTGTACGTAAATAACAAGAAAGGCAAATTTAGTTTCAAACTGTCAAGATGAAATAAAGGTCAAGATAATACATGTATATTAAGATAATCATTCAACATAAATTGTCTGTTTTGTTATATGTGTTCTTTTGTGCAAGTATGAATCCAATCTGTAAATACATTACAAAGTTATGATAATTTAAGCAAATGTAAACTATAATGATGACAAGAAATGTCGAACGACACATATGCCCCCTTTCTAGCCCTTGACTCACATTATTGGTAATTTTGTTAGAGATTTTTGCCATAAATAGGTAAATGGAAATGTTCAATTATGGAAAAAAGAAAAGTAATGAAGACTCTGTGATGAATAGTTTTCAAGATAATGAGTCAATTAAGGCCCCCGTGACCTAGACTTTGAACTAGTGACCCAAAATCAATAGAGGTCATCTAATAGTTATGACTAATCAATATTAGAAATATGAAGACTTTGTGATAAATAGCTATCAAGATAATAAGCAGAAACCATACCAACATTCAAGAACCCTGTGACCTTGACCTTTGACCTAGTGACCCAAAAATCAATAGGGGTCACTTACTAGTTATGTATGTGAAATATGAAGACTTCGTGATAAATAGTTTTCAAAATAATCAGCGGAAACCATTCTCACATTTAAGGCCCCTGTAACCTTGACCTTTGATCTAGTGACCCCAAAAGCAAAACAGGTCATCTGTTGGTTATGACCAATCACTTTGATAATTAAGACTTTTTGATAATTATCTTTCAAGATAATGAGCTGAAACTACCATTCAAAGACCCTGTGACCTTAATCTTTGACCTGGTGACCCCAAAATCAATAGGGGTCATCTACTAGTTATGACCAATCAATATGTGAAATATTAAGACTTAGTGATAAATAATAACCAAGATGATCAGCAGAAATCATATAACCATTCAAGGCCCCTGTGACCTTGACCTTTGACCTAGTGACCCAAATAACATAGGGGTCATCTACTATCTATGACTTATCAATATGTGAAATATGTAAACTGTGTGATAAATACTTTTCAAGATAATCAGCGGAACCATTCAGACATTGAAGGCCCCTATGACCTTGACCTTTGACCTAATACCCTAAAATCAATAGCGGTCATCTACTAGTTATGACCAATCAATGAGTAAAATAGGAAGACTTTGTGATAAATAGTAACCTAGATAATAAGCGGAAATCATATTACCATTCAAGGCCCCTGTGACTTTGACATTTGACCTAGTGACCCCAAAATCAATAGGGGTCATCTACTAGTTATGGCTAATCACTATGTGAAATATGATGACTTTGTGATGAATACTTTCAAGATAATCAGCGAAACCATTTAGACATTGAAGGCCCCTGTGACCTTGACCTTTGACCTAGTGACACTTAAATCAACAAGGGTCATCTACTACTTAAGAACAATCACTATGTGAAATAAGAAGACTTTGTGATAAATAGTTTTTAAGATAATCAGCGGAAACTATGTGGTCTACAAATGGACAGACAGACAAACTGACATTAGCAAAACAATATACCCCCTCTTGGAAGAGGGGCATAATTAAATGTCAAATAAAGGTCAAGATCATATTTAAATTATTTAACATATGGGTTTTGTCATTGGTGTTCCTTGGTCCAAAAATATTTCAAATCCATAGATAAATAAACTTATGGCCATTTGTAGCAAAATACACTAATTTGACCTTCAGTGTCAAGGTCAAATGAAGGACAAGGTCAGGTGTAATTCAATATTATTTTATTTTTTGTCCCTAGGATTGCTGTGCACAAGTATGACAATAATACATTCATTAATTTTCTATTTTTTAGCCAAATTTAGCAAAAAAATAAGTAACAATACTAGTATTTGACCTTCAAGTTGAGTGAAGGTCCAAATTAATTTAGTCTTAATTATGGACTTGTTCAAAGGATTCATGTGTCCAAGTATGACGACATTACCAATTTGTAATAAAACAAAGTTCTACCACTCATAGCAAACTTGAAGCAAAATTCATTTATTTGAGTCCAGAGCAACAGATATTTGCTTATTTACGCAATTAATTTAATAAAATACGCAATTGATTTTTTTAGAATGCGTATCAAAACCAGTTTAAATAGATAAAATACGCAATTGTCTTCAAAACACACGTCTATTGTCATTTTCATCATCGCAAAATTCCGCAAAATTAACCTGTCCCGCAAAATTAACCTGTCATATGCGGGTAGTTTTGGACAAATTAAATGGGTATGCATTCTATCCCAATATCTCCAAATCAAATGCTAACTAATCGATGGTCTCCAGTCTTCAACGGTCCCCGGTTTCCAAAGACCGGCGAAGCCATATCAGTAAAGGAAGAGACCATCGATTTGTATGATAACCTACAGACCAACAGAGACCGTTGATTTTGCGGGGACCGTCAATAAGTAGGTCCCAGCTGTATCAATAGACGCTTTGAAAGCAATATGGCGTCATTCAAAATGGGACATAAGATAAAAAATAATTTGAAACAAAACAATCAAAAATCAGTCAGAAAAAGAACTTGTTAAAAATATTTTGAACTATTTTTTTTATGTTCCTAAACAAAAATAACTGGCACATTCATGTAAATAATAATATCAAAAAACATAATCTGAAAATATTAAAACTAGAAATTTTCTGGACCCTGTACAAGGTAAAGATGAACTAGAACTCCGCGAGTCGGATGTGTCGCCTGGTGAACAATATTGTTTAGGAGAAATGGCCAGGACAAAAATGATATTTGAAAATCAACAAAGGGCAATAGCTCAAAAAATAAGAAATGCAGAGCAGCAGTTTCTGTGCATTGCACTTCTTATCAATAAGATCTATAATCCTACTAAGTTTCAAGTCTAAAGCTTTTATACTTTAGGAGAAATGGCCCGGACAAAAATAAAGTATGAAAATTAACAAAGGGCAATAACTCAAAAAATAAGAAATGCAGAGTACCAGTTCTTGTGCACTGCACTTCTTCTTAATGAGATCTATCCTCCTATGAAGTTTCAAGTCCATAGCTTTTATACTTTAGGAGAAATGGCCTGGACAAAAATAAAAGTATGAAAAATTAACAAGATTGTTGTTGTAAAACATGTATGCCCCCTATCAGCAGCCAATTAGTCATTGATAAGGTTTTATTAGCATGACTTCTGACCCAGTGATCAAATACAATTTTAAAAAGGATTATCAAGTATCTACTGCGTCATGAACCTTAACCTTTGACCCCTTGACCCAAAACTTCAATAAGGGAAGGTCATCTACTGGTCACGACCAATTCATCATGACGCAAAGTTTGAAAATTCCTAGGCCTTTAAGCGTTTTTAGTTAATTGATTCAGAAACCGCTTTTTACCTTCAAGGTCAATGTGAAACCTTGATACGTTTTGCCCACTTTGAGAGACCGAAAATCGCAATACAGGGTCATCTGCTGGTCAACCTAATTGACCAAATTTCAGACCATACCAAGTTGAAGTTCCTTGAGGAGCTAAGGGTTCTTATTTATTTGATCGAAACCTCGTTTTAATACATTACAAGGTCAATGTGACCTTCCGCCTTGACCCCCAAAATCAAATGAGGGGAATCAGCTGCTCATGACCCATCACCATGCCAAGTTTGAAGTTCCTAGGCCGAAGCGTTCTTTAGTTATTTGATCAGAAACCGTTTTACTTACAATGCAATGTGACCTTGACCTTTGACCCCTTGATCCCAAAATCATTAGGGGTAATCTGCTGGTCATGACAAATCACCATGCCAAGTTTGAAATTCCTAGGCCTAAGCGTTCTTAAGTTATTGATCAGAAACCGTTTTACTAATAAGGTCAATGTGACCTTGACCTTTGACCCCTTTGACCCAAAAACTCATAGGGGTCATCTGCTGGTCACGACTAATCATCATACAAAGTTTGAAAGTTCCTAGGCCTAAGTTTTTAGTTAATTGATCGGAAACCGTTTTTTACCTAAAAGGTCAATGTGACCTTGACCTTTGACCCCTTGACCCCAAAATCAAAAGGTCATCTGCTGGTCATGACCAATCACCATACCAAGTTTGAAGTTCCTAGACCTAAGGGTTCTTAAGTTATTGATTGGAAAGCATTTTTACCTACAAGGTCAATGTTAGACCTTGCCTTTGACCCCCTTAACCCCAAATATCAATAGGGGTCATCTGCTGTCATGACCAATCACCATACCAAGTTTGAAGTTCCTAGGCCTAAGGGTTCTTTAGTTATTGATCGGAAACCGTTTTTACCTATGAGGTCAATGTGACCTTGACCTTTGACCCCTTGAACCCAAAATCAATAGGGGTCATCTACTGATCATTATCATGACCAATCATCATATCAAGTTTGAAGTCCCTAGGCCTAAGGGTTCTTTTGTTATTGATCGGAAACCGTTTTTACCCAAGAGGTCAATGTGACCTTGACCTTTGACCCCTTAACCCAAAAATCAATAGGGGTCATCTGCTGGTCATAAACAATCACCATACCAAGTTTGAAGTTCCTAGGCCTAAAAGTTCTTTAGTTATTGATCGGAAACCGTTTTTTGCTTACAAGGTCAATGTGAACCTTGACCTTTGACCCTTGACCCCAAAATCAATAGGGGTCATCTAACTGATCATGATGACCAATCACCATACCAAGTTTGAAGTTCCTAGGCCCTTAAAGTTCTTCAGTTATTGATCGGAAACCATTTTTCCTTACAAGGTCAATGTGACCTTGACCTTTGACCCTTGACCCCAAAATCAATAGGGGTCATCTACTGATCATAACCAATCACATTACCAAGTTTGAAGTTCCTAGGCCTTAAGGTTCTTTAGTTATTGATCGGAAACTGTTTTTCCTTACAAGGTCAATGTGACCTTGACCTTTGACCCTTGACCCCAAAATCAATAGGGGTCATCTACTGATCATGAACAATCAACCATACCAAGTTTGAAGTTCCTAGGCCTAAGGTTTCTTAGTTATTGATCGGAACACTCGTTTTATGCCTACAAAGGTCAATGTGACCTATGACTCTCGCACCCTCTGACCCCCAAATCAATAGTGGGTCATCTACTGACGATGCGACCAATCCACCATACCAAGTTTGAAGTCTCTAGCGCCTAAAAGGGTTCTATTAAGTTTCACTCGAAACCATTTGCGCCCTCTACGGACCGACCAACAGACCGAACAAGTGCAAAGCAATATACCCCCATATTTCTTCGAAAATGGGGCATAAACAAAGGGCAAATAACTCAAAAAATAAGAATGGCAGTCGGTACAAAGTTCTTGTGCCTGCAACTTCTTCTTAATTGAGATCTTATCATCCTATGAAATTTCAAGTACCAATAGCTTTTGGACATGGCCCGGCCAAAAATAAAGTATGAAAATTAACAAAGGGCAATAACTCAAAAAATAAGAAATGCAGAATACCAGTTCTTGTGCACTGCACTTCTTCTTAATGAGATCTGCACTTCTTCTTAATGAGATCTATCATCTTATGAAGTTTCAAGTCCATAGATTTTATACTTTAGGAGAAATGGCCCGTACAAAAATAAAGTATGAAAATTAACAAAGGGCAATAACTCAAAAAATAAGAAGTGCAGAGTACCGGTTCTTGTGCACTGCACTTCGGGTCATTGTAAGAAGCATGCATACCAAGTTTGAAGTCAATCCGACTTATAATGACTGACTTATGCTCCGGACAAGCTTAAGGGGACGCCGACACCGACAACGACGCCAACACCGCCGACAAAAGTAACACCTATATGTCGCCTTTTTCAAGGCGACACAAAAATTAATACTGCTAACTCCCAGTCATTTTTATCTAAAATCATCAGAACTTATTATAAGGTAGTTATATCATTGTATAAAATGTATAAACACTGGTACCTTTTAAATTTTCTGTTGAAGGATAATCATCTGCCACATTAAAATCATTTTCAAAGTCCTGTTTGTCTTCAACATCATCATCAACATCATCATTAGAGTCTACAATCAAAATGAAAACATGTAATAATACAAGAGTAGCCACAGAAATATAATATTTATCACATAAACTATGGCACAGGAGTGTAATAAAGCCACGTAATAAAAATGATATACAGAAGTGTAATAACACTTTGACGTGACGTCATTTGCATTTTATAGAAACACAGTGTTAAATTGGGCTAATATTAGTTACACTTTAGGGGCGTCAATGACAAATGGGTCTTAATAAACAGTCAACCTTTGTTATTTCGAATATTATTAAACAAAATATTATATTTGTGTGGATTCAATACTAAATTTATTTAAACATTGAATAAAACAATGCCAGAGGCTTGGAAAAATATAAGTTTATTCAACTCGTCAAATAAATTAAGTATTAAACGTACACCCATTCAAAATCCTCTATATCCTACAGACATTTGAATATTTGTGTCATTTTAACAGTCAAGCAAATGGATATAAAATGGATATAGAATGGAAAATCTGTAATACATATACATAATCATTTATTTGTAATTAGCACTTGGTCTCCTTGTTTCCTACTTAACAAACCACACTAATATCAGATCTTTCTCGGCATTCATACACAAAAATCAAGACATTGAACCGAAAAAAACTGATAAATTGAAAGCTATCTGCTGCATTCACATTTGACCTAGGATATTCTATTTAAAAGGAAGTCCTTCAATCAATGGTGCAGTTACATCCCAGGAAATGAAAAGGGGCATTATTTACAGATCCCTAGATATAACCTTTGCTATAATTCAGTTTCTTGTGTGTATCACACTGTCCCCTCAAGACTTTTGAAAAACTTCAAACAATGGCCAAGTTACAATACAAACATTATGGTTAGATGGATAAAGGCACATGGACTAAAGCCGTCAAGCTATCAACTAATTAAACTAGCTAACAGCAGGTCTCTGAAGTTTGATGAGTTTTCTTTTCACCTTCATTCTCTGGAGTTTGAGGAGTTTTCTTTTCACCTTCATTCTCTGGAGTTTGAGGAGTTTTCTTTTCACCTTCATTCTCTGGAGTTTGATGAGTTTTCTTTTCAACTTCAGTCTCTGGAGTTTGAGGAATTTTCATTTCACCTTCATTCTCTGGAGTTTGAGGAATTTTCATTTCACCTTCATTTTCTATCTCAGTGTCTCCTTTCTCTTGTTTCATGTCACTTCCATCATCACTGACTTTTGTTGTCAGCTTTTCAACTTTTGTTGTGCTCTCCGTATAACTTTTCATAAATGCTGACTTTGGAGGAGACTTGGAATCTGGAATCAATTGCTGACTTTTCTCAACTTTTTCTTTCATCTGTAAAAAGATAAAAGAAATTTGAAAAAAAACTAGAAATGTGTCCATAGGACACGGGTGCCCCCACCGCGACACTGTTCTATCAATCTTTTTACTAAGTCAAGGGAAATAACTCTACAAATACTGGATAAATCCACATAAGCCCATAAGGTTTATTGACTATGTCAAATCCTTTTTGAGAAACTTGCGACACAAGTTGAAAATTGCAAAAATTTTCTACGTGAAGGGCAATAACTCTAAAAATACTAAATAAATCCAGACGAAAATACCTGGTGCACAACTGCACATGCTGATCAATATTCCTGTAAAGTTACATGACTGTAGGTCAAATACTTTTTGATTTATGTGCGACACATGTTGAAAATTGCCAAATTTTACTAAGTCAAGGGCAATGACTCTGAAAATACTAAAAATATCCAGATGAAAATACCCAGGTGCACAACTACACATGCTGATCAACATTCCTGTAAAGTTTCATGACTCTAGGTCAAATACTTTTTGAGTTATGTGCGACACAAGTTAAAAATTGCAAAATTTTACTAAGTCAAGGGCAATAACTCTAAAAATACTAAAAATATGCACACGAAAATACCCAGGTGCACAACTACACATGCTGATCAACATTCCTGTAAAGTTTCATGACTGTAGGTCAAATACTTTTTGAGTTACATGCGACACAAGTTGAAAATTGCAAAATTTTACTAAGTCAAGGGCAATAACTCTGAAAATACTAAAAATATCCAGACGAAAATACCCAGGTGCACAACTACACATACTGATCAACATTCCTGTAAAGTTTGATGACTGTAGGTCAAATACTTTTGGAGTTACATGCGACACAAGTTGAAAATTGCCAAATTTTACTAAGTCAAGGGCAATAACTCTGAAAACACTAAAAATATCCAGACCAAAATACCCAGGTGCACAACTACACATGCTGATCAACATTCCTGTAAAGTTTCATGACTCTAGGTCAAATACTTTTTGAGTTACGTGCGACACAAAAGTGAACGGACGGACGGAAGGACGGACGGAAGGACGGACGTACCAAAATTTGATGTTTATGAGGCAAATGAGCTCATAAACACCACCTGGACCAACGTCCATAAGCAAAATAAGCTCATAAAAACAAAAAAAAACTCTTAATTTTAAATTTTATGAGTTTATGTTCTTTATTTAACTACGGAATGAAGCTCATAATAATCAAATGTTGGCTCGGACGGACGGACGGACGGAAGGACGGACGGACAAGGGTAAATCTAAATGCCCGCCACTAACGTGGGGGCACAAAAAAAATATTTTTAGCAAAAACCATTTAACTCAAATACAGTAGAACTTCGGTACGTCGAAGTTGAAGGGACTTGCGTTAAAACTTCGACACATCGGGACTTCGACTCATAAATCACTCTCAACTCCATGACAATATTTCGACCCGTGACTAGTCCTAATTATAAGATCTATAACGAAACCAATTTCATGTTTTTTCATCATTAATCTGATATTTACATTTTACAATGATAAATAAAGCATGTTAAATAACGTTTTTCACGGCTAATTATTTGGACTTCCCGTTGACGTATAGAACAGAGTTACAAAAGGCGTAACAATAGGAAAGGACGATAACTAAACAAGCTTATAGTAAATATTTCGCGTGTTATTCTCACGCGACACCGCGTCAAGGATGTTTTCAAATGAAAGTAATTCTTACTGTTTACTTTCAAATACCCTATGGCAACTAAAATAGAAACGATTAAAGCATTTTATCACACATTTTATCGCAAACAAAGAAAGGCTGTTTGTCACACGACTGTGTAATTAACACCTGTCTAACAAGTTGATTGGAAAACGTATTTGCAGCCAGATAAGGTGTGAAAAATGTCTGAGATCGAAGGTGTCAAAATAATCGAACGACTTTGACTTATTTGCGGGAAATTGCACTAGATTTACTTTATACGGACCATGAAAAAACTTCGACACATCGAAAAATTCGACACATAAAACCTCGACTCATAAATAAGTTTTTATAAGGAACATATAGGGGGGAAAGTTGGGATTTTCATTTTTCTTCGACACATCGAGAAAATCGACTAATCGAAGTTCGACTCATAGAGGTTCTACTGTATGCCGATAATTAACTCAAATAGTCCCTATAAGTACTGGTTGTCTGAAACATGAAAATAATTTTTCTTTGTAGGTAAAAGTGAATTGGTCAATAATAGAAGGTCTGTAAAACAATAAATAACAAGCAAGTATCATAGTATTGCAAGCAATCCATAAGTCCCCTACAGGTTAGAACCCCATCAACATTCTTAAGGGCCATTTACTTATGTTTCAATTTTTCTCTATTTTAAGTAAATTTGTTGGAAAAGTTCTTTAAAAGTGATCACAGGAAACAGTTTTTATGAACAGACAGACAGACAGACTGAAGGACACTCTAAAGTTAATATTTGAAACATCCCTGTTACCAAAATATAACATTTTAAAAGCAAAATTCTTAAACAGGAGATAACTCTTGAATTAAAGATGCAATTTCATAAAAATTTTCAGCTCTTTTTGACTAATCACAAATATTGGTATATTTGCCATGTTTTAAGCCTATTTGTTGCCAAGGCAACTGATATTTTTTCAAAATAGGAAGAACAGATAAGACATGCATAATCTCAAGACTGCCATCTACCCACATGTCAAGTTTCATAAAAATATTTCCAGTACTTTTTGAGTTATCACTGGATCCAGTTTATGTGTAAAATTTGCCATATTTTCAGCCTATTTGTTGCCATAGTAACCAGAATTTTCAACATAGGAAGAAAAGAAAAGACGTGCATAATCTCAAGACTGCCATCTACCCATATGTCAAGTTTCAAAAAAAATTTTGCAGTACTTTTTGCGTTATCACTGGATCCAGTTTATGTGTAAAATTTGCCATATTTTCAGCCTATTTGTTGCCATAGCAACCAGAATTTTCAACATAGGAAGAAAAGAAATAGACGTGCATAATCTCAAGACTGCCATCTACCCATATGTCAAGTTTCAAAAAAATATTTGCAGTACTTTTTGCGTTATCACTGGATCCAGTTTATGTGTAAAATTTGCCATATTTTCAGCCTATTTGTTGCCATAGCAACCAGAATTTTCAACATAGAAAGAAAAGAAAATAACGTGCATAATCTCCATACTGCCATCTATCCATATACCAAGTTTCATAAAAATATTTTTATTCCTTTTCAAGTTATCGCATCGCGGGATCCAGTTTTGTGGACGGACGGACTGACGGACGGACAGACAGACGGACATTCTCACAGGACAGTAATTATATGGCTACTCTATTGTTCTCTCTATTGTTCTTTTTAGCCACGCAAAAGAAAATAGCCACATAAAAGCATTACGGAATGAATGACATCAAAGAGAACCTATTGTCCCTCTAGCCACATAATTACTCTCCTGTGAGTGCGGACAGACAGACGGACGGAGGGTAAACCTAAAGTCCCCTCCGGTAAACCGGTAGGGGACTAATAATTACAGTGATAGTATTTAGTATAACACGTAACAACAAACTGCCAAATAATTACACATCAATTGTAAAGTACATGATCTGATATTACATATATTCATACAGCAGATCATAAATTAATCTTTGAGGGTAAACCATTTAAAATAAGTCAGTTTTTAATTTTGATCTTGATATTGATCGAACATGGGGCCCACACTGTGTCTCATCAATTTAAAGGAAATACTTAAAATTGTAAGTTACTTAGCAATCAGCCTTAGCTTCATAATGGTGGCCCAAACTTATTGGTTAGTATATTTGATAGTAGTTATTACAAAACAACTTCTGTCAAATATCTAAGATATATTTTTTTATGTGTTTTAAGCACTGAATTTCTGTGATCATTTACTTTTCCAACATAAAGTTCTGATTTGTGTACCTGAGAATCTGTAGGATGTGTTAGCATTCCACTCCCTTGTTCCCCTTGAAGATACTTGCTACCAACATCTGATGTAGGTGTTGGACTAGGTGAGATCGGAATTCTTGGTTCTGATTTTTCAATTTGACTAGGACCATTACCATTCTCTGTTGAATCTTGCTGAGAGCTGCAACTAGGATCTGTTTCTTCTGTACGATTGTTTTCCATTGCATCTCTTTTATCCTTTGATTCAGAGTAGTTACTTGTGTCTGGTACTTCTGTTGGATTACCTTTTAGACCACTGCTACTGTCTCCCTTTGCTTTATCAGCATCTATTAAAATTAATCCACAAAATTATAACAGGAAGTAAAAAAATGTTTTCAAACCACATATATATAATTATATTTTGAAGCACAAATTGAATTTATTTCCCCATCAGAGCTAGTTTTTTGCCTATATAGATGACAGAGACAGGCATATCTTTTCTGGTTGCAGCCATTGTATTATAAGACAGTTGCAAAAATGTTCTATAACGTAATAGTGAAACATCAACTCAACATTTCACTAATCTCATTATGGTATATCAGTATGTGAGAACAATTAAGCGCCAAATTCCGTTGGGTCATGGGCTTATATACTGTTTGCCCGTCAGTATATTAATTTAAAAATAATATTCTACTATATCAGTATAATTAAATACACTAGTCATTAGACAACTGCCATTATAGAATATATTGCACGGCACACATAGACAAATGTTTTGAGTAAGAACTGCGAAAAAAATTATATGAATACGAGAGATGTAGGAGGAGACAGTAGAGTGCGGTCAAAAATATCTAAGATACATCTAGCAGCCAGGAAATTCACGAGAGGACATTGTGACATTCCTTGGTTGCGTAAAAAGTAGATATATTATTGAACTAGTAGCGCTAATTTTGGAAATCTGTACCACGCCGCTACTCAGAAGTAATTTAGCATATAATACAATATATAGAGCACGATAGAATCAAAGAATTGTCGATCGATTCGTGGAATGTAGCTCGATTCTTATCATGCATCACCATTTTCGGACCCCGGAAATATTGCTGTCTGATTATTATTTACACATATATAAGACACATTCACGTGTATCATTCACAAAGATACTGAGCAGGATTATATAGCGTCCACATTTATCCTTAAACACGAGTGGTTATGTTCAAGAGACTTCAATAGAGAAAGTGAGATACACATTAAGCGGATGTTCCAGGGTTAAATAACAAATTTCAACCACAATCTCAGCGAGTTTTATCGTACACATTAACATGTCTAGAGTATATGTTCTCTATAGTCGACACAATAGTATACGAAATAGATCTACATTGGAGAGCTCGAATTTTCCTACTATAATTAAAATTTAACTGTATACTCTTTCGGCTGTCGATGTGTTGCATGACATGGCTGTGTGTATAATCATAATCATTATAGAATCAATATAGAGAGCACCATCCATAGTCATTCGATTGGGTAAACAAATTTAATTAGTTCCATAAAATTGGTTAGGGTTTGAGTTTTAAGTTCGTTTTTCCATCTCGTCATTGATTGTAATTTTCCTTTAAATATAAATCCTACACGTCAAGCCATTAGTTAGTGATAAATGTTGTGGCAAACTACACTGTGACTGTAAGAGAGATACTATTTTAAATTAACAAAAACAAATAACTAGAATAATTCACAAAATAGATCTGATTCAAGCATTAAATTTTTGTGTATATAAATTCTTACACCAAAGATCCTTCAACGGAAATCGAAATTGTCTCTCAATAACACCCAGAGAGGAGGGTCGTTGACACCTATAGTTATTTTTTGTTTATTTTTGATTTTTGTGAAGAGGCGCTTTGTGGTTTGTAGTGTCTTTTCTAAATTTACTAAAATTTATAATAGAAAAAATAAATAGACCGAAGTATGTAGATCTAATACTCTATATATGCTCACATTACCTGCTCTCAGTAACAATTAGTTGTTCAAATAAGTATGATTGTGAGCCCCCTACAGAATCAGATAATACACTTAGTTATGGACCACCGAGAGAGTCAATACAACAGCAAGCCAAAACAAAAATTGTATTAAAAACACAGGCAGATTACATAGGACTAGTTCAGGAAGGCTCAGAAGCAGCAACTCTGATTTGTACAAAATAGTGTGGGTGAATATAATATATATATATCGAGGTTACGTCCTATTGAGAACAATTCAATATTAGAGCTACATTAATAGACTTAGGGAGAATAATGGAAATGAATAGTCATATCTTGAAGATCTATCTATTGTACAGTATATTCCATATTATTTATAGATCGGGATTATATAAATGTATATAAGAAAGTACTTAAATATGAGGGAGCATATAATTTTCACAAATAGCTCAATTATTAGTTAAGCACTCTATGAGCAGAGCATTTTTTGATAACATACTGCAGAAAGTTGTCAGTGCATATAACTCTCCTTCATTAATGTACACTGGGCTGTCAAAAAAAATAAAAGGCTGGGTTTATGGGGGCAAACATTTTAAAAACGTTTACATGATTGTCCTGAATTATTTCATCTTGGAGGCCAATCTGGAGTGATTTTTTGATTCACAAGAATATCTGAGAGACTCCGAGACTGTCACGATACCACGAGTAAAAGCGAAGAAAGATTAGAAATAAGGGAGCTAGACTTATTTCTAAATGTCCTAAACAGTGATCATTTAGAAATAGATGTGATACAAAATGCGCAATAATGAGATAAGTATAGGTCAGTCATTGTGGTAATAAAAGGGATATACTAACATCAAACACTACTATTTTTAGAGGGTAGAGCACTTGTGACATATTGGCACACCACACGCACACGCGATAGAGAACATTCTCCTCGTATTCAGAGAGTCAGAAATAGATTGCCGAAAGGTGATAACGTTGCCTCTGTCGCAAATATTAATGAAATTATAATAATCTATAGTTTGATATTAAATATTGAAGTGCAAGTATGAGATGCACAAAGTGTAAAAATAAATTTTCTTGTATGCACGCTAGTGTGTAATGTTTGACAACATGACTGAATCCCATTAATCCAATCAAAAAAGGAAGAATAACATGGCCAAGTTATGTTCCTACAAATATGAAAAAAATGTCTGTCGAATAAATAAAGGCTGTATGAGTAAAAGTGTAAAATCTATTTTTAGTTCTCTGCTGACCTTGACCCAACTGACCACTTACTCATCAATTTTAATCTTCCTATCATTATAATCACATCTGTCTATAGAATATGGTTAATACACGCTTTAAAAGTAAATAGATCTACATATATGAGATTATATTGGTCGGACAGTTGAGACCATTAGTTTGTGACTATGACATTCGTAGACGTCATAATCATAGATTCACACTTGTTTAACTCATATTTGGCTTAATCAATTTAAAAAAAACAACATGACGTTGCCTTAACAAAAGGTATTTAAAAGAGCATTATACGCGAGGCACTCTCGCTTCTAAAGCGAATCGTCTTGTTGCAATTACAAGTCGTCTCACGATTTCTAACAGAGAGATAATGAATCATCAACACACACTAAAATACATTAGAAGAGGGATAAGATAGCACATAAATTAATATTGTTTCTTTATAATTTATTAGTATGTTTCGCTTAAAACCAGCTCGTATTCATTCAATTTCGTAGTTATAGGGTGACTGATTGTTATGAGAGGTAACACACCACGAATGTAAATAAACATCACTCAAAGGATGTAGGCACGGACGCAATTAAAGGTATACTCAACTTTAACGCCAAATTATTGCATAATAATAATCATAAAAAATTTCTATAGCACAATTAAGAGAAATTTACGATAAAACTAATATTCTGTCCTACGGGGAAAAAGCATAAGTTGCTGTACCTGTCTATTTGACACATGCTAAGAGTTGATTCATCTTATATAAATGGCTCTGTCTAGTGTTCAAGAGTGATAAAATGGAAGATAGTACTCGAGAATAGAAAGGAAAGTATTAACTCGAAACTATCGAAGGTTGATGAAGTTATGGACTAACTTTCACATCATGGTACGTCATTTTGTATGCGAGTAATGTAAATCGAGGTTGTCAGAGGAAAATTTATGATATCAGCGCTATTAGACCAACTAATTTGTTTGGTCTGACGACCCAAACAAAGAGAAAAAAGGACCAAGTCTAACTTCATGGGAATATTTTTTCAATTGTAAATATTTGTCTCTCCTCGTAATTTTTATTAGGTTTTCTTGAGATATTAAAATATTTCAATCTTCGACGCCTAAAATTGGTGTACGTGAAAAGTGGCAATACTATGTTCACCATATAACCGTGAGATAGCCAATTTATGATATATCATAATAACTTGACACAGATCCATGTGTTGTATTTTTCTTGGAGTAATTGGAATATAAGATACATTTGTGACAGTGGAGAGAATCTAAGAATAGCTTTTCTCATTGTGATTTAATTGACGAGGGTGAGAGACTGTTTAAGATAAAAATCCCGCACTGACAGTTTCTTACATTAAAAAAGGTCTAATCAATACGGTATGCATATGTACGAATGTGAGACTCGGTAAAATTGCAATTTTTACTATATTTGTCAGGAAATAGAATTCATTAAGTGCATTTATAATATCAAAGAATGACCTCTGAGAGATAGCTAGAAGTAAAAACAATATATAAATTTCACGCACGATACTATACTGTATACATATGATGTGTTGAGTAGTAGCATATACTAGAACAAAATTGGCAAATTGAATATGTTGTTTTCATTGTCAGAACATATTCTAACAAATGGAAGATAGATTAAGGTATAATATCAGTCTTCAAAATGTTATTTAAAAAAACAAAAAAAAACTCGTGAATTATACGACAAATCTTAAAGAATTCTCCTGAACTGTAATATAACCCTGTTTTCTCTATTATTCATTATTTTTCTGGAGAAGTATAATCTTTTTGGACAGAAAGATTCTAGATTCAGTGTAATCAATAAAGGCATATCCATGAGGATTTTATATCATCATTAAGCGCTACAGAAACACTTGAAAGGTAGGGTCTATCAGTGAAGTAAATATTCCCACTTTACGTCTTTCCAATTTTAGTTTAAAATACTATGAGGAATTAAATATGATTAAACATTTTTCATTTTGTTATTTTTAGAATTTTATTGTATTTTATATTAAAACACAGAAACTATAATGAAAAACGAAAATACACAACAAGAAGACTCAAGTTCCAATTAGATTATAATTTATCTTTTTATCTTTGCAATCAGAAATAAACAAGCATGTTTTGTAACACGGGGAGCATATTAATTGAGGGGTGTTATGAGGTGTACAATACTTATACAAGCAATTCTACTTAGCGGGAGTAGAAGGATGAGTGCACTCATTTTGGCGAGATATGTTTAGTGAGATTTCGAGTAGATTACTAACTACGCACAGAGTAGTCTCTGTATATTATAGACTTAAGATGAGATAGCGGCAGCACTTAAACGGGACACCGGAATATTGCTATAGGCGTCTTACTTTTATTTACCGAAGGAACAATCCAATGTACTCGCTACTTGTAATTTACGTATACTCGTGGTCCAATACGTAGCTACCTTTTCAATTACATTTTTACATACCCCATGGACTAAAAAATCCAGAGACAAAAAACTAATCTCAGCTATGTTTCGCATCCAACACAACATATACTGGCTGAAATGTCACCAAAAGAACATTTGTCATCATCAGGTAGATAGATTTCAAGTCGCCTCAGAAGAGTGAGCGTACCTCTAACATGTGTATAACCATATTTGGACAGACAAGTGAGATATGCCTGGTAGAGTGTATCCAAAAAGAGCATAACAATTTTTTTAGAGCGCAGTCCTATCAGGTAGTGGCTATGCGCACACTATAATGTCAATATTCCCAACCATCTTTCCCCATCTGAAATTTACAACAACAAAGGACTTGGGGCTCAAGTTTTCGGCCCCCCTTTCACACACTGTTCCAGCAGATGCAGTGTAGAAAACCTTCTACATGTTCTTTGGGAGGTTCTGTACTCAAGTTGATACATATCAAGTTAGAACACTTTGAGTACCACGGCTCTCCAGCTACCATAAAATCGGACTACAAGACATAGATTTGGGGCCTATTTGCGCTGTAAACCATTTGTTAGGGCACAATAATCGGTAAGCGCTTTTTTCTTTACAACCTTTTTCATACACACACGATCGTTTTTTGAACTATGAGATCTAGGTTCATTGAACTTCGTTGTATGTGACTGCTCAAAGGTAGTACTTAGAATCTAGCAGAAGTGAATAAACAAAATGCTAGTTTAATATACGTTATCTCAAATTAGTAAAAGTTCCCCCTTTTACTATGTACATACGAGGAAGGTATAAATTCCACTTGAGGCAAGATATATGACAAATAGATAAATACCACGGAATAAATACTAATGCAATATGTTTCTATATTATTATAGTCGTTAGGAAACGCTACTAATCGATCTGAGCTCACTTGAGTCACAGTGAGATTGATATAAGTTTTTTCCAGACAGGGTATGTCTATATCTGCAACATAAAGCACTTATCAAGAAATCATATGAAAAAAGGACCGTACAAGAGAGGATTTGTACAGACTTAGTTTCTTGCCCTTCTGCTTATTACCACCCGGGTGCTAACTTAACACTAACAGCGGAAAGGGTGGTCTTCTAGTTTTCAGAAAAGATAAATATTGGGGAAGCTCTTTTCTCCTGTTGTGTTACCAATGTACCCACCTTCAAGTATCCTTATATATTTTAATATGGGTCTTAGAATAGTCAAAAGACTCTAGGCGTGATTAATGTAGCATCTGAACCATACATATTGATTACATATTAATCACTCTCTACTCTATGAATCGAGCATAATACCCTTAATGTGCATCTGAACTGCTCATTTTTTAACATATCTAGCGTTAAAAGTACATAGACAGATTGTGATTAAATCTTGGAGCGAGTCTCATAATTATTTAAATGTAAGAAATCAATAGTTTATTTAATTTTAATTTAAGAACTCTGCAGCTCTTTATCATCTAACTCCGTACATTTGAGTTCAGTAATAATCACAGTTCAGGTGCCATATGATGCGTGTTCTTATATATTCATTTGACACAGCTATGTCTATCAATCAATTCTCCTGTCTGTCTTCTACATAGATTTCTCGTACGACATTTGAGAGGCGAAATCATACAACATGTGCGTGTACGGAACATTAAACTTCCTGAGAACGAATGAGAATTGGACATCAATCTTTGACATACACCCTTTCTTGGGAAAATGATTAGTTTGAAGGACGAACGAACGTTAGAGAGGCCACACACGACTCTTAAATATCTCTGTAGAGCATCTATGCCCGTATATTCCTTTTGACGATACTTCTTAGGCTCCATATAAATTGTGTATTCTCACCTGGACCTAGGTTAAGCGATGACTCTTGTGCTTTTACAACAACACTTAAAGTTCAAAACTGGAAATTAGATAATGTTTCATTAAACAGCAAATTCTTGAATTTATATCCAGCCGATGTTATGGTTATAATAAACTACAACAGACCTGTAAGACATAGGCCGGCTGTTCACTTCTTATATATCTTATCAACTTGGCGATACCGAACCATTAATATTTTCTTTATGGAACTCACTTGATAATATTATTAGAGCGCATAACTATCCGCATAACTTCTGTTTATATAATAGTTAAATTAAATAATGGAAATGCCAAATGAGATGTATCGCTGAGACTCTGCAATAAACTACATAAAAGGGCCATGAATCTTAAAGTTAGTTAAAAATTACTGACTCGGCCAGAGACAAAAGGTCGAAACTAATAATGCTACATTCCTCTTTTGTAATTCTCGCAAAAAAGTTCTTCATTGAATATCTCACAGCCAGTATAGTCGGTGATCTCGTGAGCGTCACATATAAGAAGATAACTAGGATCGATATTATTGCTTTGCGCTGCGTTGTATACTGCAGAAAGGTCTATCAAAGGCCATAAACTCAAAGAATATATAAATTTTTAGAACGATATATCTCAAGGCGACAATAATGCGCATCTCTCTAAGATATTGAAGGTTCCAATCAAAAGTGTATTAGGTAAGGTTCCATATATAAAGTTTCTATGAATTTCAGCCAGTAGTTGCAGAGAATTAGCCAGCAGCAGAATAACCAAATATATTTTTCTATATGCATACTGCATAACTAA